CACAGAAATCAATGTTTATCTGTGTTTTTCAATATTTACTTTTAAATTAAGAAATTGAGTAATGTATAGTACTAAAATTTGAATTATAATCTACAGTTTGATATATAGTTATTGACATAAATTCATGAAATAATAGTTCAATAAAATTTTGAATGCGAGTCAACAAACGAGATGACATGGCCTTTCACCTGTGACCAGTCTTGAAAGGGTTAAACAGGTTTTAAAAGTTTGTGGGAGGCCTAGTTTTGTTTTCTATAATTTTAAAGTCAATATTATTGCAAAATATGGAAACAACAAAGACACATAGCATTAAAAGCATTTTTATTTATATATTTTTCTTGTAAAGAATAGCATTAAAATTTCATTCAATTTTGTCAAATATAATTGTATTTAGTATAATGCTACATGCACGAAAAATACAGCCCAATATACTTACACATTTTTTTTATTTTAAAGTTTAAAAAATGTGTATTTAGAATTACATTTGAGGTAAAGCACATTTTTGCTTTGAACATACTGGTAAGTTTGTTACAAACATTTTCACAGGGAGCTTTAGTTTCTCAACTAAATAACTAATTTCTGGTGTTTGCATACTGAACACATACTATTAGAAAAATATGTTCCTTTTATTTGTCTTCAACCTTCAAAAACTGTCATAACTGGGTTTTAAGATTAAATAATTACAGAGGCATATATTTTTTCACTTAAATGTAGGTCTGACATGATCAATTGAATTAAGTTAGTATTGTACCATGCAAGTAATGTTTTTTAGATGACTTCCACAGCCAGTAAAATGTTCACCTTTAATCCTGGACAGTGAGTAAAGAAGGCTTCTGGGCTTTGTGAATGATAGAGTGCTCCATGACCAACAGCTCCACATGGAGCTCTGACTGTCAAGGATCCACAATCAAACATTCCTCCTGATCGATACCTAAATTTCGCTGCCTCATTCACCAACTGAAAATTACAAAAGTATTACACACCAAGAACTTCAAAGTACTATATTAACTAAGTTTTTTTTCTGCAGATCCACTAGTAACAAGTTAAGCAGGTTTCTTACACAAGTATAAAACAAGAACTCCAGAGTATTATATTAATTAATTTTTGTTACTGTTTTGTGTGTTCACTAACTTCAAGTTAAAAATGTTAAAAATCGAAATAAATCTAAATTACCCTCCTTTTCTTTCTAGAATGTAGCGTGACACTACATCCATTTATCCTAAGTACCTTTAAAATTGTAACAGCAATAACAGTAATAATTGTAATAATTACATTTTATTGCCCTTTGAACTGCTATTAGAAGTTGTAAATCCCTTGGTGAATGTGCAGCTCACATTACACTATCGAATTACATTATCCATGAGCTACTCTGAGCTGCTCGTGAAATATTTTTATATTATTATTATTATTTTACCTAATCTAACCTTAACTAACTTAAGGAGATATCTATTTTTACATTTTAGTTACTTTTATAATAATAAATAAAGAATAAACATGAAAAACAAGAAATAAGTTACACAGGCCTGCGATGGTTTTATTGTCTTGAAATGTTTACATGTTCTATAGTAATTCCTGTACACTGAATCTAAAAATGATATCCATTTTTCTCCATCATGTACATATTCTTCACAAAATGCC